ACCCACGCCCATATCGCACGAACCTTCGGTTGCTCCCGTGTTGCCGTTACCAACTTGATGCAACGTTACAGACATCGCGGACCGCTGACAGGCCAAGAACAGGCAGACCCAGGGTGACCACGCCCCATGATGACCGGTACTTGCGTACCTTGCACCTCCGAAATCGCTTCCTGACAGTGACGTCATCGGCGACAAATGCCTTAGGTCACAGGGTTAGTCGACAGACAGTGGCCAGGAGATTCGGGGCTCATGGAATCAGGGCTTTTAGACCATACAGAGGACAGCTATTGACAGCGCAACATCGTCGTCTCCGATTGAGATGGGCCCAGACTGTACGACGTTAGCAACGACGTGACTTGCAGAGGGTTGTCTTCACTGACGAAAGTCGATTCTGTATGTTTAGGGCTGATGGAAGACAACGTGTTTACCGCCGAAGGGGTGAACGAACGGCGGCGTGTTGCGTGCAGGAGGTCGTACCATATGGTGGAGGGAGTGTCATGGTGTGGGGAGGGATCTGTTGGCAGGAGAGGACACCGCTGGTCATCGTTGACGGAAACTTGACAGCTCAGCGTTACATGGATAACATTCTTCGTCCGTGTCCTACCATTTCTCCAACAGCAGCCACGTGGTGTCATTTATCAGCATAACAACGCTGGAGCCCATACAGCCAGAATTGTCACTCGCAGCCAACAACGTCAACTTCCTGACGTGGCCTGCACGCTCACCCGACATGTCCCCCATAGAACACCTCTGGGACTTGATGGATCGTCGTGTCCGACAACGACCACACTCTCCAGCCAACCGGCAAGAACTGATCTTGGCCCTCCAAAAAGAATGGCGTCAAATCCAACGTGACCTCATCAGACGACTGACTTTTTCTGTGCGTCGAATTCATCTTGTGATGCTAAGCAGTTTTACGAAAGTGTTGGTATTTCTGTCAATATAACATAACACTGCATACATGTTGAGAGTATGAAACGACCTTTGATCTTGACATTGTGAATTATTAAAAGAACAAATAATTGCTAATGTAGTTAGCTTTTCATGTCTAACATCCTGTTCGCTGCCCTCTGTCCTATTCAACTCAGTGAATGCCTGTCAGGGATTCATCTCCTGAGTGGACATATGAAGGCACCTTCAATGTTGTTACTAATAAGGCATAAGTTGTGGCGATCAAACGGATGAGCAAACTGAAAAAGACCCGTAATGCGATTAATAAATGCGAGGCGGAAGCAGGCAGACTGGACGCGGGCCGATCGTTCCAGTGCGCCAAAAACATGAGGAACCCGTTTGTACCCAAGTGACGGATGTTTTCGTTTGGGGTACGATTTAGCCTGCCATTTCTTATCATCGTCTCTTTTCGTTTTTCAAATTTTATTTGGGTCAAGCTTCTGTGATTAGGTATGCCCTAAAATATTTAATTCTAAAAAGTTGCTGTGATGAGGTTACTTGCCACACGGACTTGTATAACCGGTTATATAGGTCCATGCTTGCCACGAAACGAGTGCAAACGACCATGCCCTTAATCGGAGGGCGAGCTTCTTGTGCGATGAAGCGTGTAATTTTTGGAGAACATCTCAACTTACAGAGACCATGTATGGAGCCTGTATAAATAAAGTCTCCATGTGTTTTCGTTTCAGTCTTTGAATTGATAGTCAGAACTATAGTGCAAAATAACCATATTTACGCGCCCATGACGATATTTCAAATACCATATTTGCATTAACGATGTCATGGCCTAGCCAGTCCTGCACTGGTTGTACCTTCCCACGAGACTTGCACTTTAACGCCGCACCCAACAGGATTTTCAATGTGGGTTGTAAATAGTAAATCTGGGTCAGATAGCTAGTGGTTAAAATTACGAACATGACTGATCAACATGCGTGTTTTGTGAAAGGGTTCTATCAAGGTAAATGATAAAGTTTGAAAGCAATTCCATAGTTTGCAAATGATGTTTACCTTAAACTTCAGTTAGTTAATGCACAGGAAAGACAAAGACAAACGAGCCATGGTTTAGATCCCGGTAATCAATGCTGCTCCAACTGCATGTATATCATGAATTTCGTAGCCGACGCCTGGGCCATGTCGCTTGTGTGAGTTGTTTACTGCAGACGCTGATCAATATGTGATCCGTGGACCTCGAGTATATGGTTGTGTTCTAAGACAAGTATACAAGAATCAGTCGTGGGAGACAACTCTTAATGGCACAGTTAATGGCAATTTGAATGGCGTACGCTACCGCGGCGACATAGTTCATATTCTACCCACTGTGCAAATGGACGTAACGTCACGTTGCAGCAGGATAGTGCCCGCCCACATGTTGCAAATGTTGTAACACACTGTTTCAGGAAGCATACCATTGCTGTACTGCCATGGCCGGCTGTTCCTCCACATCTGTCCCCTATTTAACAGACCCATGAAGATCCGTGGTAGAATAGGTATTCAGCAACCCATGCTTGCCATAAAAGGCGACTATGCTTGTCGTAAGAGGCGGAAATAAGAGGACAGAAAGTTGAGTAAATTGTGACAAAGTTCACCACACTTGGCTTACAGCTAAAGGGGGGTAACTCATATTACCTCAGTTAACTTAATTGTTTTCCACTGTGCCCTGAAATACATGAATGACATTAGAGGTTGTAATTACAATATAATCTCTTCCAGGTGAGTTCCCTTGTTGTTATAACCAATCTCAACAAATTACTTTGACCTCTGTACTGGCCAGTGTAACAATCTGTTGTGGAAACTTAATAAAATTTGATCTCTATGAGGAAACCTTTCATTGTTTTAGTGTCGGGGGGGGGGGGGGGGGGTATACACTACATCCCAATCTCATTTAAATCAGATATTAGTTCTCGCTGTCGCCAAACAAAGATCTGAGAACATCCCATTACGGGTCACGTCAGAACGACCTTTCAACCGACCAATCGCGTCACTTACCAGATCATGAAAGTGACAGTCGGAATGTGTTTTCTAATCATGCAACCTCGAAAACGTTAACCCGGGGTATTACTTACGACAGTTACGACCCGTACGACTGATTCCGTCAAAATTATCGTCTGTCTCTCGCTTCCGTGGGGTAAACATTTGAACGGAGGAGGCGTTGCACAGTACGTGGGAAGCACTGCCATGCAATCTCAACCATATATTTAGACATTCGGGAAGGTTCGTTTGTTCAGTTTTCAAAAGTTGAAATCAGAACTGTGTCAACATATTTTTCAAGCGTAGTCTGAAGTGGAAGTTGCCAGGTTGAAACGAGTGCCGTAAAGCTCGAGAAAGCTGCTTTCTAATTGGCTGATGTGGACGTCTTGTTCGTCATTTCAGTGGGTGTGTAGATACTGTCAGGTAATACCATGGAAAACGGGTTAGATTCAGGGTAGCGTGACTATATGGCTGATAGCTGGGGTGTTTTTTTGTATAATAATAGGGAGGTCAGGGTAACTTGGGTAGTATGGGTCAGTGTAAATTTTAAATAGCGGGACAGGGTAGCAGCCACTTCCAAAAACAACAGCATATGACTAAAGTATAAACAGTTCCACTCGGCGAAATGTAAATCTGAGTATTGACGCATTTTTGTATGTAATGACACCCAACTAACTGTAGTTGCTGATTTCATATTGTAGTGTCACGGAACTAGCCGGCCATCCTTATAATAACGGCAGCGGTAGAAATTGGCTAGTCCTGGAGCTCTTGTCAAACTGCCCAATAGTTAAGGTATAATAAGGAATAGTAGCAATTTGCCATTTTAAAGAGTTTTGTTATATGTTATCATTATAAGGACCAGTGGACTAAAAATGTTTGTTTATTTACCACTGATAACGTAAGGAGGAAGGAAGTACCTCTCATACCGTGTAAAGGGGCTCTCACACTTTGCTGAGTTGCGTCCCGAGTATGGACTAGAGCTGACTCGGGAGTACTCGTATGGAGCTCGTAGCGAGGTCGAACTAAACCTCCCACACTCGTGGTGCTCGTACAGACCTCGTATGAGGATCGTCTGCAAAATATATTGCCGAGTTGCTAATACGAGCTATACGAGCCTCCATGTCAAATCATGTGACAAATTCCCGCCGAATTATTTAGCAGCTCGTAGCCACCTCGTACCAAATTTGTAAAGCCCGTATCGAGATCGTTGTGCTCGTATGCAACTTTTAATAGACGCCAGGGTGTGAGAATCAACACTGTAAATTTGTAAATCGAGTGTGGACCAGACAATCCAGTGATTGACTGGAGCATCGATGCACGCAATTAGTATACAATGACATGCATCAACCAGTCAGCGAGCCTGACAACGTGATCCTATTAGTCGCCTCTTACAAGCATGGTCAGCTTTTAACAGTAAGCATTGGTTGCTGAAGACCTATTCTACCCCGGATCTTATGGGGGGTGTATTAGTATTGTTATATTTGTTGGTTTGTTGGCAAACGCTGCACTCAGCAATATTCCAGCTATATGACCGTAAATAATAGAGTCTTGACCAAACAATCCAGTGATTAATATCATCAGCATCGATCCACACAAATGAGATCGATGACATGCACCAAGTCAGCGAGCCTGATCACCCCATCCCGTCAGTCGCCTCTTACAAGCATAGTCGCCTTCTACAGCAAGCATGGGTTGCTGAAGACCTATTCTACCCCAGATATGAGTGTTAGTAACAGTATTGTTAGCTTAGAATATTAAAACAGTAGCATACTGATAGCAGTATTGTATTGGTATCAGTTGGTTGGTTCAGATCTTAAGGGAGGGAATAAAATATTTCTAAAAAAAAAAACTGACTAGTGTGTGACATGTGTCCTTGACCTTTCATGTCATTTCTTGGGTTATGAACAGGCATCCATATTGGTTCTGATTGTTGGAAATTTTCAATCAATGCATGCCAGGGCAGAATGGGGTCCATAAATTTTAATGGGCTACATTGCCGTCATCCTGATCATCTTTGCTCATGTAGACAGATTTGTCTTCCCAGATTCACTCTATATAGTCAAATTCAAACAACTCCGAAATTTAGCTTCCATGAATTTATTTCCAAAGGAAATACAGGAGAAGAACGACTTGCTTAGATTTTCCTTTCCAGCTCCTTCTTGAGCGGGCCCTGAAACAAAGTTCAATGTTGTCAATGGCTAAACACAAATCAGATTACCATCTTAAACCTAGTAAATTCTGACCTACATCACTTCAGAACAGTTCTAGAGGAAATGCAACCAAGTATATGACAAATTTTTTTAACAATGAAAATTAACTTAAAGCAGTCTAAACACCTCCACCATGGAGTTCATACACATGTTGCACATTTGACCCAACTATGGTTCCAGGCAAGGTGCAGTGTCCAATTCTGAAATATGTGGACAAGCGTGTACTAAAGCTTCAGGACCAATTTTCATTCTCTTACCATGAAGTTCCTTCTCTCCTCCTGGGTCTGGAAACGTCCATGGCCCCACTTGCTGGCGGTGTCCACAAACTTGAGGGTAATCTTCTCCATGAAGCGCTTCTTGAAATGGGTGATCAGGGACTGGAATAAAATTTTATTTAGAGACTTTAATTGAAGTTTATTGTAAGACAGATGCCTGATGTGCTTCTAAACATTCAAGCTGGTTATGGTTTACTATAGAATACAGCATCAGAAGGAAGGCAACATGGTTAGTTCCACACAAAGTTCAGGTACCCCTGGCAGGGGGCACAGATTCCATGTATTCATCACATGCTGGGTTCTCACACCAAGCTTGGAGGAGGCAGTATCATGCAGCTAAAAGCTTGTGTTTAACAAATGAAATAGCAACTGGAGGGAACAGCAAAACTCAATGGGATGCTCAATTGGCATTACAAATATTAATCCAATTTACAGGACTGAAGTGACCCCAAGCACAGTATAGCTATTTTGATTCTCGAATTAACGCATATAAATGAAACTTTGAACAAACATGCAACAATGTACTTACTTTTCGCAGAGTGAGCGGCCTCTTCTTGGGTCCAACACAGCATCCCTTGATCATCACAAAGTCATTCCTTACTTCACCATAGTGAGGGAAGCCACCCATTGGTGTTATGGTCTTCTCAGTGGGATCAAAGTCAGTAGCAGCATTATTCTTAATAACCTTGCCATCCTTGGTGTGGATGCCTGCACCCAGGCGGTAGATCTTCTTGTTCCTCTCAGTACGGTGGTGATAGCCCTTCTGACCGGCCCTGGCCACAGTGTACTGAACTCTGCTGGGATGCCACGCTCCAATACAGGCCACCTTCCTCAGACCCTTGTGAGTCTTCCTGGGCAGTTTCTTACAGTGCCAACGGGAAGTCACACCTATGAGCAAAACGATTCATTATAAACATGGCAAGTACTCTGGCATTAATAAAATTAAAACATGTATAAGAATGTATAAAACAGGCTAGTATATGCAACCAACTATAACCTACCCTTCACTCCTCTACCCTTGGTGACGCCGATGATATCAATGACCTCATCCTGTTCGAACACAGCACTGACAGGAACAGGCTTCTCCAGGTGTTCACGGGCCCAGTCAACTTTGTCGGCAATACTGCCTCCATTTAGCTGAATCTCCATCAAATGAGCCTTCTTCTGGCGTTTTCGGAGCAGCTTAGTCTGTAACAAATACAGAAACTAATGAACATTCAGAGAGGCACATTACTTGTGAAAGTGAACTGACCAATGCATGCATGACCGGAAATACATACATACATAAACCGTACAGAGACATTAGTTTAACAAGCCAGAAAGGTTTTGGTATCACTAAGGAGTTACATTAAAAATGGTAAACAAGGAAGTAATGACATCAATCTGGACAATCCAGGTTGAGCGAGTTATATATGTTACAATGTTTCAGTCCAAGATAATTTGATTAACAATAGGTGAGTGGAAAATATCATGCACAGTAACTTCTGGATGTCATTTGTCAATTCAGTTTTAAAAAAAACATCTGATGTCATATCTACATCAACCTCATAGATCACACAACAAATCTAGTAAAATCCATGTTTTCACATTGAAGAAACAATCATATCTTTTTTTTTTCTCAAACATTTTTCCCTTACTGGAGTTTCAAAGCTGCAAGCGGATCAACATGAAAATGGGTCAAGGACTTACGATCTTATTTTTCAGTTCTGTTTTATTAATTGTATTACTTGTTTGTTGTTTAAAGAACCACTTAGCAATATTCCAGCTATATGACGGCGGTCTGTAAACAATGCGAACTCTAATTTAATTTGGTGATGAAAACTATTTGTAACCGGAGACATTTGTGCCATAACTGTTATAAACATACTTAGGACAGGGAAATTTTAATGCTGTCCATTTACTCAACATAATATTAATTAAAAAAATATATTGCTTATAAAAAGAATATGTATTATCACAGCTAAAGTTGTTTTTTTTCTTTTCTTATCAAATCACAAATATTAACATTGGAAAAAAAAAAGAAAAGTCGTAATTGATCTACGAACAGACCCAGAGCATTGCATCTCTGCTGTTCATTAGCCAGTTGAAAATGTGTCACAAAATTGAACAAGCATGAAATACTCACATCCCCCGCCAATATATGTCCGTTTGTGTGCAATGCATTAGCTCCTGTGAACTATGTTCACTGGGCCTTTTTGTAAATGGCCTAATTGCAGCACTAATAAAAGTTGCTACTGGTGTTTTGCCATCTGCAGTTTATGATAGAATAGGTAACTGAATTTGTAATGAGTAAGGATGAGACATATTGACGAGCAACTTCTTTAATACAATTAGGAGCGATGGTTTCGATGTAGGTTCTAACACCATTATCTAGCAAGTGAATTACAGAGTATGGTTTACAAGAATATACAGTGTTTATACAGTTGAGTAGGTTTAAGATCAGTTACACTGTTGTATTTGTAATGAGTTGTGTTTAAGCATGAGATGAGGTGAGGTGAAATGGGGTTTAACGTCGCGTCAAAGATTATTGCACTTATATAGCGACGTGCATGTACGTGTGTGTGTTTGTGTGGCTGCTTGTACTCGTCCAGACTGATGCCGATTTATAGTGCTAGCTCACTGAGATACCATGCCGCAGTTTAACATGAATACCCCACTCAGACACAGTATACTGACCCCAAGCCAACCAGTGCTTGTTTTAGCCCCTTAACGCCGAGCACCAGACAGGGTAACAAGTACCATCTTTTTGGTATGACACGGCCAGGGATCGAACCCCGGACCTTCCGCTCTACCACTACACCACGGAGGTGGTCTTGTTTCTGCATGAAGTTAGTGAATGCAACAACTGTGTCCATGACACTTTTGGAGGAACATACACTTAAGCAATGCTGAACTTACCAACAAGGAAGGAAATTTATTCAAAAAGACAACAATATGTTCCAAGTTTGGTGAAGAAATATGGTACAGTTTTCAAGATCTGCTCCGGAAACGAGGACTACCGCCATTTTCAGTCTAAATCAAAGTCGTTGCCATGGAAACTCGAAAAATAATTTTAAAAAATTAGTTCAAATCTAGTTCACCACTAGACCTATCTATGTGCCAAGTTTGGTGAAGAAATACAGTACGATTTTCAAGATCTGCTCCGGAAACGAAATGTGACGGACGGACAGCACCCATTCCTATATCCCCCTTCCACTTCGTGGCGCAGGATAAAAAAGTATACCGGCTCATAATTCCTAAGTAAGCTTTACCTGGGTGTGTGCAATGACACGGATGATGGTGCAATATTTCTTCAGCTTGCCGAAGTCCCGGTCAATTTCCTTCTTGCCAGCTTCATCCTGCCACTTCTTGTTGCTCTTGGTGAATGCCTTCTTCTTGGATCGAGACCTAATGAAATCATCCAGTATATCTCATCATGAACTGAGTCCATGAGCGGAGATGGATAGGTAAATGCTCATCAGTTTGAACTGAGAGGAGCAAAGAGTTGTCGAACAGGCTGGACCCTGTAAAAGTTCTCACAAAAACAGCTGTTCTGTTTGTTAACATTCAAAACATGTTGATAATTACAGACAAGTTCAGACCTTTCCTTATCACACTGCTTATATTGACAACTTAGGTTACCCATATAAATGGATTTTAAGTAAGGTGATTGAATGTTACTAAAGCTCAACACTCCACTTGCAATATGCCACTATATCAATGCATCGAGTAAATAATTGAGTCGGAATCGGTTCGTAACTGAAAGCATGAGCAGTGATCTTAATAACACGCTATCAACATCACAGCCTAACCAGCCAATCTCCAGATTTTACAAGAATAAGGTACTTTGGGACTATTCTACCAAGAAACAACTTTGAGGATAATGCATCATATTACTTTACAATTGTTAACTTTGCACGAGTAGTTACCAGTTCTTGTAGAATCGGCGTCTGCACTCCTCACTGAGGTGTTCAGCCCAGATAGTCTTCAGGGTTCTCAGTCCATGGGGCGTTTCAATGTATCCTGTGACACCAGCAATAACCATTGGTGGTGCCTCAAGGATGGTGACAGCCTCCACAACTTCCTTCTTATTGGTTTCTGATGAGAGAAATAACATGACTAGCTACAGCCTGCAAGAGTGGGGCAGTAGATACATGTCAAACTATTTCAATGGCTTTTTTTATTACATGTTCTGTAGTGAAGGAATAAGCATGAGGGAAGTTAACTATTCAACTTCTATTCAACAATGTTTTCCTTGGCAAAAGAACAAAATGTACTAAATCAACTCAAAACAAAATAATTCAAATCCCGTAATTTGTTTCAATTAGGACGGAATAACAGAATGTGTCCAAGCATATCTTCTTAGGAATTCATAATCGGCTAAAACATCTCACTTACTGGAACCGGGTCTGTCGACCTCGCGGACAATGTGGGTCATGCCAGCCTTATACGTCAAAAAGGTTGTCAGGTGAACAGGTTTGCTCTTGTCATCCTTAGGGAAGGACTTGACTTTGCCACGTTGTCTACTACTTCTCTTCTTGGGCAAAAAGCCCTTTGAACCGTGACGTGGTGCCGAGAACTTACGATGCGACTGAAACGGTGATATTTCATGTTATAACATTTAATCAGACAAAAATATGTATTTCAAATGTCGCTTTACTATTTAGAATGATTATGTTTTCAGTAAATAAGTATATCTGTTATGTCTATGAATACGATTGGCATCGATATGTTGGGAGCTCGTTCTAATGCATCCTACCATGCTGGCAGCCACAAATGGAAAAGGACGACCAACAACGAGGTTCTTCCGGTTTACGACCACTGTCGTTTCCGCTTAAGTAATTTTAAAAGGTTTATTACATACGATAACTGTGGGATACGTTCTATTTTGCCTTATACATTGACACAAATATGTATATTAAATTGCAAGTTGTCTTTGGAAAGATAAAATTTCAGCTTGCCGTAAACCAACTTCAACATTTGTCCTTAACCTTCAAGTTCAGCGAGAAAGCTCGCGTTCAGCTGCAACTGTTCTGTGATTCAGAGAAGAAAATGTCAGACGACAACACCCCTTCCTTCGCAAAAATTGCAATGGGTGTATTCAAGGTTATTGATGCCCCAGTGACGCTTTTCAGAGGTATATTATTTGCTGTTTAGTAGTAGATCGAGCTGGTGACAATTTCCGCGTAAAGACCCCCTGTTTTCGCACACACACACACACAGAGACACAGCAGATTGATTACCACGGATTGCTTATACTTATGAAATGGCATCGTGACTATAAGCGGCCTCGTGATTATATGCACCGATATCCTCTGGCGAAAACATCTACTGATCTTCAAGCGAAAATGGCACTTCATATTTTAATAACGATAAGAATGATTTCTGTAGTAGGCTTAGGATACTGTATTCATTGGTGATGTTCATTTATTTTTTATTTCTACCGTATTTGTCATTGTCCAGTGTCACAAAATCGGTGGGTCCACTGGTCACAGTTGTCACAGGATACACCATATTGATTCCTGTCATGCATCTTAAATACAGTGTCCCATGATGAAGATCCTGGGTAGAACAGGGCTTCGGCAATCCATGCTTCATGTAAACAGCAACTATGCTTGTCATAAGAGGCGGGATCGGGTCGTCAGGCTCGATTACTTGGTTGATGCATGTCATCGAAGCCCAATTGCATGGATCGATGCTCATTATGTCAATCACTGGATTGTCTGGTCCAGACTTGATTATTTACAGACCGTCGTCATATACCTGGAATATTGCTGATTGCGTCATTAAACAACAAACTAACAAATAATTGTTATGATGTTTGTTTCCCTGAATTTGCTGAAGGGATTCGATGTATTTGGGGGGGTGGGGCAGAAGATAAACGCGTTTTTCTGGCAAATGTCGCCGCATCAGTAAACCAAGAAATAACAAAAATGTTGCCTCATTTTTAACATGAAAACTTTCAACCTAGAGATACTTCCAGACTTCCGGATGAAGTCAATCGCGTGACTACATACAATTCTTCGACTCAGCAACTTCATGTTCATTGTAGATCTACAGGACCAATATTTACACGTCCTTATTCATCGGGAGCTTCCTCCGTTTTTCCTCGTTTTCCTCAACCAAGACTACCAATGGAAGGTGCTCCCATTTGGAACTTCTCAGGCCCTGTGACTATTTACCCACCTCCCCAAGCCCATCGTCATTATTCCTACATGTTTGAGGCATCGTCTTCGATTCATACATTGACGACTGCATTCAGGCCATCGAAGATCAAGGCATTCTCCTCCTACATCTCAACTTCACACATCGTCTTCTTCATCAACTTGCTGGCTTGTCACCGCCAAAAAGTCTGAACCAAAACCCACTCAATGACGCAGGATGTTCGTGCCCCAAGATTATTGGGTGAAGATTCCACACAATTGGCGCTCAGACAGTCACTCTCCCTGTGTCATTGGCAACAACTTCTTGTCAGCACGGGTTCTCACCAGGAGAGGAGAACTCTACCTCCAACTAATTCAGTGTTTTCAAAAAACCCTACCATCAGAACGACGATTGTGAGGTTCTAATTTCCTTGCCGAATGTCCATCTCAAATGGTGGCTGGTACCGTTGAACGTCTGCGAAGGAGTCTTCTTGTGGCCGTTTAGCTTGTCTCTTCATCGACGCCTCGATCATGGTTTGGGTTTCGGGAAGCTCATTGTCAGGATCTACAAGCTACATATCTTGCTGCAATCAATTCTGTCATCGTTACTACAGTGGGTGCAAAGGTGTCTATGGTTGCGGAACTGCAATCCTTAATTACAAGGTGATGGACCAGTCATCTCAGTTCTGACGATCGATCTGGGATCTTAATGTCATACTTTGACATCTAACTTCGGCTAATTACAAGCCACTTGCTGAGAAGGAGTTAGAACATATCTTTCTTCAGAGTTCGCTTTGAACATGCTCTTCATGGCAAAGTTTTCCTTGGCTTTCATTGCCAAAAATCAGCTTCTCAGACACCCAGATCGGATATTTACTTTTGTTTGTATGTTTGTTGTATAATGCTGCAGTCAGCAATATTCCAGCTATATGATGGCAGTCCGTCAATAAGTGAGTCTGGACCTGAAAATCCAGTGATTGACATCAAGAGCATCCATCTATGCAATTGGGATATGATGACATGCATCAACCAAGTCAAAGAGCCTGACCACCCGATCATGTTAGTCACCTCTAACGACAAGTTTAGTCACCTGTTATGGCAAGCATGGGTTGCTGAAGACCTATTCTACCTTGATCTTCACAGGTGCTATCCCACCTTTGACATCCATCTTGAATCCTAAGATCTTCAAGTTATATCCTTGTGTCCCGCATATGCGCTTCGGATCTTGATGTGGCGAAACCTCTTCGGCATTCCGATAAGAGACTGTTTTTCCAGTTTTGTGCAACAGCTGTTACAGTAGTTTTCCATACCACGATTTTGTTTTGTATTCAGGCAGTTATCCTTCGGGCTGGCCTGCCTGCTCTGGTCGCTTGCAACCCTCATGAAACTTGCGCTGTTACCTCTACAAAGGAACAAGTTTCTTATGTTGTTCAGACTTGTTCCCGATTTCATGTGTTTCATTTGTACATGTATCAGGGTCAAATAACTTTTTGGGAGGTCTTTTTCTTCCATATCCACGAGTTTTGTCTTTATGACACTAGACAGTGTTACTTAATACTGTTCTGTAACAGTATTAAGCTGCATAGCACCACCTTCCTTGTGACCATGGATATAGTAGGTGTGTTCGGGTGGATGATTGTTTTAGAAGCTGGAAACCTTTGTTCAGGCATGTTTCCACTTAGGATCGAAAGAAGAATGAGAAATGCATAGTGTGAGATAGGATAAGTATATAATTATACAATTTATTGTACAATTTACAAGTTCATGCAAGAGGATCTGTCGTTAATTGGATTTGTCATTAAGTAAGCGGGACAACCATGATGTGAACTACTACAGACCATCATCTACATGCTCTGTAGCACAACTGGAATATTGTTCAATGCTCCGTTGAACCCAACTCACTCATTCACTTTGAGGCACCGATATTAGAAATCTTATTAACAGAATTTAGCAATATTAAGGATAAGGATTCATGTGCCCGCATTAATAATTGTAATACAAGTTTCTTTTGCTTGAACCCTGTATGTACCAGATAAGCTAGATTTAGTGCTGTGGCACTACTGTAATTTGAATGATTAATTGTCTTACCGAGAACTATGTTTCTTTCAGAGAAGTTTGTGTTACCAAACCAAGAAAAGGGCACACACAAATGGTACCACAGGCGATACCGACGTATTCCTTCGTTTGATGAGTGTGAGGTGGATGAGCCTATCTGCATGTATGAAGCTGAGGAACAGTATCGCCGAGACAAGTAGGTTAACCTCTTCATTGACATAATTGACAGATTTTCCATTCAATTAAATGCAATGAATGTTGTCCACTATCTTGTGTATCAATACGATCATAATGATCTTGCCGAATCGGTGGAATTGCTTGCTGTTTTCTGTCAGTATGCTCAGTTCTTGTCATTGCTCTGATGTTGGGTTCAACATATATGTTCCGTTTGTTTGCGATATTTAAAATCATTACATATAGATGGAATATTGCTGAGTGCGACGAGAAACAACATACGAACAAGAAGTTATTTGTGTTACTTTATATATAGACTTTTATTTTACCCTTGCACTTCAACCATGCTCCTAAATTCTCTCAAAATGAAACCAATTGAGCACTGAAGCTCAAAGCTGACATACTGAAAAAGCTTTTTTCCGCGAATTTCAGTCATTTATTTTTAAATTGATATGACATGTGGTATTTGTTTGGTTATTTGTGGGATTCAATAAATAGTTCTGCTTTTTGGGGGGCATTATTTAAATTTGACCTTGTTTAGACCATGCTCTTAATTTCTCTCAAAATGCATTTTTGCCTCTGTAAACATCTCTGAAAATACGACCCTGAGGTAGCTGAACCTAGCCACAGATGTTTTTTTGTTTGATGTAGTGCTTTGTTCAATTCATTAAAATATAGTGTCTTCAGCATTCATGCAGAACCTACATGAAGATCAATTCTTTGAAAGGCATTTAGAAGTGATACACATAAGGAGGTTAATCTATGGATGTCAACTACTTTATTATGAGGAACACAACATTTCGAAGTATGTACTTACCGGTACTCCTTCATTAGGTGAAAAAAATTATGAAGGAGCAATTATATACTCCGTAATGTATTGTTCCTCATAATAAAGAAGTTGACATCCATAAATTCTCTTCCTTATATTTGAATATCAATGCTGAAAGCAACTTTTGTTCTGTGCCTGAGGACTACATGTCCAGGTGAGCAGCAGGTGCAGGGGCGCTGTGTTTGAGTTCTTGCTGGATTTGAGATTGTTAGTTCTGATAGCAAGTTTGACGTATTTCTTATTCTGACAACTGTTTAGTGTGAAATAATAGTAAAGTTAGCAATGCACAAGCTTGACTAGTACTTCTAACGTAATGGTTTATGGTGAATGTGGTCGCATGCCCTTGTATATATATCACTACTTAAAAATCATAAGATACTGGTTAAAATTACAAAAAAATGTCAGTAAGTAGATTGCCAAAAAAATGTTATAATATGATGCTATTGTATGAAAAGAATGGAGATCAAAATTGGGCATACAATGTTAAATGTCTACTGTATAAATGTGGGTATGGTTACATCTGGGAAAACCAATGTTTCTTAGAGAATCATGCCATGTTCATATCGAAAATAAGGCAGACGCTTTTTGACATGTACTTTCAAACATGGAGATCTACTGTAGATGTTTCTTGCAAATGCGAATATTATAGATATTTTAAAATGCAAATATGCGCAGAAAATATTTAACTGATGTAAATATAAGAAAATGCAGAATATCATTAACACAATTTAGAAGCAGCTCACACAGGTTAATGGTTGAAGTTGGCAGGCACAACAAAATACCCAAATGTTTAAGATTATGTAAACAATGTTCTTTAAATGTTGTCGAAGATGAATTTCATTTTCTACTTGTATGTTGTAGATATGATAATTTAAGGAAAAAATATATTGAACAGAAATACTATGTACATCCAAATAAATACAAGTTTATCTCTTTAATATCACATTTGAGCAAAACGGCTATACAAAATCTCTCTCTCTTTATATATCATGCCATGTTATTAAGAAATGAATCCTTGTAACATTTCTAACCGCTTCCACATTGTCATGTATTCTGTACAATGGGCCTGTGGCCTTACAGTTATATATGAATGAACTGATTGAATTGACTGCTGACAATATACAGTTTCCTGGCCTTCATCTGTGACACTATCAAGTACATGATGAATTGTTTGCAGACTTGTTGACAACCAGATTCTGAAGATCCTGCGACAGAGGAAGATAGAGTGTTTGGCCTGGGAGGGTCCTGATGCCTCCAGGAAATGCAAGAAAGTGACCGAGGACTATGAAACCTCAGCCACCAACTGGTTCATCAAATGTAAGTAAACAACTTATACAATGGGCAAGTGTTTTAATTAAGAAAACACTTGTGACTCTGAACAGTAACCAAAACCAAATATGCAAAATGTTTCAAACAATATCACTCTTTTACGGGAGGCAAAATAGATTCCTATATGCATACAAATTGAGAATAGACATAAATAATTTATGTTGCTGGTCCTGTTGGACAAGTATGGCTGTTTAGATCATTATATTTATCAAGATTGGACAGTGTATGTTGATGTTGATTATATGTTTATTACAAGGGCATTATTCAGTGATACTACTATGTATATTTTTTACGTTACTCCTTAGTGCATATACTGCTTACCTTACGGCAAATAAAGACAGCGCCTCCCAATGGTCCTGGGTGAAGAAAAATGTTTCCATCTTCGGTCTACTTTTTGCAGGACCCATCGCTGCTGTCATGTGACAGATTGTGATGTCACAACCAATTCACTTTCCTGCTCATCGTTCTACTGGGAAGATGTACTTTATTTTGCTCCTTCAACTTTTGGCTTAGTTTTGTGGATATCACGTAAAATGTCGTTGGCGAAGCATAATGTATTCCTTTTCATATTATGTTCACTTAAATGTGTATTAATATGCAGGTGTTTTCCATCTCAAAAGACTTTGTCTTTTTCCCGCCCTGTGGCTTGTTTCCACCATTTTGAATTTGCGTTACAATGTTTGTCTCCCTGGGAGGCTGTCTTTATTGTTTGCAACTCTTGGCTAGGTATTACTTTATGTATGTTTAAATACCTTTAGCCTTTTGGAGTTATCACATTTCTATTTCTGATACACTTTAAAATTCAATTTTTGTTTTCAACTTATGTTTGCGTGGTGCACTAATTGCCGTGGTGATAAATCTTCTAAAGATCTTCATCCATGTTGCTTGGGCTGCAGTCAGGTATGCGCTCCAAATTTTTTAAATATAATTTTTGCTCACCTCTCTCCCCACCGAGCTTCTCCATTTATGGACAGGTCACACACAAATCTATTCTACAGCAGTCCCGTCATGTTGTGAGGAAGATCTCAGAGTCGCAGGATACTTCTAGTCACCCTTCCCCGGTCATCACCATTCAACTTTTGTTGTCTAATGGAGCATTATCTAAGGTTCTCTACTGCCAACATTCATTGCCTCAGCGTACTACGGCACTCGACTTGATTGTGAGTATTGCACCATTCTCTAATTTTCAGGCGTCCCTGGCTTCCACTGTGATGGTCCCAGCAACGCCGGCGTACATGTCTTACGACGCTTCTTCATGCAGTTCATATGGCAGCAGTCCATGGCACATCAGAAGCGCCAGTATCTGGTCGCAGCCCACATCTATACCAGTGGATCCTATGCTTAAGGGTATGGTCAGGGCGCTGGATGAAGACTTTTCCAGGTTGACACTTGAACCGTCATTCAAGGCGCCAATGTTCAGGACAGATGATTTCATTATCCATGATTTCACTGTAGCAGACCAGGCTCACGCTTTGGATGAGAACTTGCAGAGGATGACTGGTTCCCAGTCACCAGATTTGCCTTTATTGAGACTGAACCATCGCCCACACTAGCATCTTCTACACGTGCAAGGGAGCAGGACTGGTCACAAATTAACCAGATTGGTCTAGATCATTTCCAGATTGTGGTTTGTCAGCACTGCCAAATCGACCATATGAGAAATGGATGCCTAGCACTCTCCAAATGGGATTCTGAGTTTAAAGTCAATGTACTGCGCTATGGTTACCGTCTAAACATAGAGGTAGATCCACCGTTGACCACAGCTACTCCACCTTGGTATTATCCAAGGAAGCAACATCTGCTACTAAAATCCAAAATAGACATCTTGTTGAAGAAAAGAGCTGTAGAGATTGTACATGCCCCAGCATTAACACCAGGCTTTTACTCTACCATCTTTCTGGTACCCTAATAGGACAATCTCTCCTTGTTCAACGAGCGCTACCTGGATTGTCCACCTTACTTCCACCTCACAAACTTTCGTGACCCTTTCAACCCTTTCGATTCCTGATCAGTCTTGATTTGCAGGATGCGTACCTGCATGTACCTGTCCATCCCTCTGACTGCTGGTTCCTCAGGTTCAAGTTAAATGGGGTCCACTACCAATGGGCAGTCCTGCAATTGCAATTTGAGTGGCCCAGTGACTATTTACACAATTAACCAAGCCAATATCTGCTTTCTACACCTGAGGAAATCTGGTTTGAGTTGTACATAGACAATTGTCTTGTGCGTCATCTGAAAACGTCCACACTGGTGCTCCATCGGGATTTCACTATGTCAATTGGGATGGATGTCAATGAGGCGAAGTCGGAGTTAACTCCCTCTTACCGGCTCCAGTTCGCAGGAGGCCTTTTTCAGACAGATCAGGACTTAATTCCAATACCAAGGGACAGATGGCTCAAGATCTTACAACACCTGTCATCTGCCCTGTGTCAATCACGCAGACTTCACCAATGATAAGTGTTGCTGGGGCTACTTGCTTGAGCCCAGGATTTGACAAGCAGAGGCCGCCTACATCTGCGCCCAATACAACAGTTCTGTATCTGTACACTGCTATCATTCTACCATCCTATCAAAGGACTCATCTCAACAGGTGAATTCAAACATATAAAGAGGCGTCTCCTTATCCTGATCTACACCTGTTTGTAGATGCCTTAGGGGTGGGGTGCTCATCTACAGGGTCAGACAGTCTCAGGTTTTTTATCAATCTGTGATATCATGCTAATGTTTTACTGTCCTTTGTGACAGGTATTCAGCTTTCAATTTGTTTTCGTCACTATATGGCTGAGATACTGCTGATGTGACGTTAAATTTTAACTCACACAACTTGCAGTCTCCACCAACAACAGCACGGTGGTGAGGTGCCTCTGCAAACAAGGGACAACACACTCTCACTCCCTTCTGCAACAGAAGTATAGGTTCTTTCATCTAGTGGATCGTCTGAGACTACAATTCATAGTCCAGCACATCCCCAGATGTCAGACAGGGTGTCTCCGACTGAGTGGAAACTCCACTCAGAGGCGTTCCAACTGGTGCTTCAGTGCTTTGGTCAACCCAAAAAAGACCTGTTTGCAGAACCACCAGCTTATGACGTATGTCTCATCGCTCCCAGATCCACAGGCTTGGGCAGTAGATACATTCAGCATCCTCTGGGAAGGGCTAAAAGCATACGCTTTTCAGCCTACTTCCCAGGGTGATACAAAGCTACCAAGAGCCTTGCTCTGATTTCCGTTATGCCTGGTGGCCAGTGAGGGGGAGCTTCGTCGACCTAAAAAACCTTGCAGATGAAGATCCACTTCTCCTCCCAGAGTGGTTGAACTCGCTCATCCACCCTCACAGCAAACTACCTCACCCAAAGCCAAGCAGATTTCATCTGCACGCTTGGTTCATCTTATAAGACATAGAATGAAAACAGCTTGCCCAAACACAATGCAGAAGTAGGTCACCGATGGGGGGGGCTTCAATCTAGGGATTCGAGGACAAGATCCGCCTAACCCTGCCTCCGGCGCCTATAATGTTGGAACTTCCCAAACTTCTTGACGACTCTGTAGGCTCCATTTACAGCGTTCTAATCAGTTTTGCAGTCTGATAGACCGAATTATGTTGGAGTCCCGAACTTGTAACATTCTGGGATGAATGTCCTCACAGATGCTGTCTCACTCAATCACTCCTTACAAGATAAGCAAGGCTCTAGGAATTAGGGATTTCCATCACGATGAACAGCTTAAAAAATTCCATTCCCCAGAGTGGGATCTTAATATGACATTATTTTATCTCATTTCCAATACTTACGAACTTCTGCAGTCTACTCGGTCTGATACAAAAAACAGTGTTTCTGTCGGCATTAGCAACAGAAGCAAGAATCTGTGATATTCACACACTTGTCGTCACATCTTTGACTGTGGCGACAATGGCTCAAGTGTATTTTGGCCTAATGTTTGATTTTGTGGCATAGAATTGATGACCTGGGCACCCTTTTAGCTTTTATTCACCCTTTCAGCTTTATTCACCCTTTCAGCTTTATTCACCCTTTCAGCTTTATTCCCCCTTTCAGCTTTATTCCCCCTTTCAGTTTTATTCCCCCTTTCAGCTTTATTCATCCTTTCAGCTTTATTCACCCTTTCAGCTTTATTCACCCTTTCAGCTTTATTCAACCTTTCAGCTTTATTCAACCTTTCAGCTTTATTTAACCTTTCAGCTTTATTCCCCCTTTCAGCTTTATTCATCCTTTCAGCTTTATTCACCCTTTCAGCTTTATTCACCCTTTCAGCTTTATTCAACCTTTCAGCTTTATTCAACCTTTCAGCTTTATTCCCCCTTTCAGCTTTATTCAACCTTTCAGCTTTATTCAACCTTTCAGCTTTATTTAACCTTTCAGCTTTATTCAACCTTCTAGCTTTATTCACCCTTTCAGCTTTATTCAACCTTTCAGCTTTATTTAACCTTTCAGCTTTATTCAACCTTCTAGCTTTATTCACCCTTTCAGCTTTATCTATGATCTTGGGCCCTAGCGATACCAAAAACCTTGCTTTGTGTCTGCTTTGTGCACTTGTGGAAGTGATTGTTTCTGTCAATTACCCGTACAAGTTCAGCAGAGATTTCCAAGAATACGATCTCACTGTCATTATTATTGACAATTCTGGAAGCATTGCCGCCTCCTGAAGCTAATAATCCCCATGAACGATGAGTGTAAGCATCCACCCTGGCCCTTCATAAGAATGTATCTGAAGTGGATGTGACAAAAGGCTGCTTTTGGTGATCTGATCTGTCTTTGCCAGAGGAGGACCATCATCCCTAAACACTGAATTGGCTGAATAATCAATCACCTACTTGTTCCTTGCTTATCTACATTCATAAATGCTTTTGGTCTATTGCCATGAGTCTTCCTGCTGGTGTATCGTGTTCTGATACAACTGGGGTGTTGTTGATACAGACTAGTGAGGGCACCCGCAACAGCAAGTTATTAAGTTGACGATCTTAGATGTACGATTGAAGCAAGGGGAAGATGAGGGGCAGATAACCCTGTGGGTGTACTTCCAGGGTGCGTTCAGGTTGATCTGTTTTCATTCTGTGGTATGGATGGTAAATATCCTGTGTTAGTAATAAACATCAAATTTAGAAAGCTAAATAAATAGAGTATATTTTTAATACAGGATATTTAACATCCCAAAAGACACAAGCATGATAAACTCTTTATCATGATGTCATTCTTAAATTTTGTTGTTGAAATCCTATCCTATCCTATCCTACAATCGGTACCTACACATGGCAAGTTTTCCTGGAATGTGTGCTTAAATATATATATTACATTAGTCAGTCAGAGAGTGACATCAGGGGATATGGTTCCAAATGAAATTTGTTTTTTCATACAGTGACATAACTACATATAGGCAAAATGACAGTCATCTTCACGTATTTTGTCTACTGGTCTTTCATGGCAGTCCATCGGTCCGCCCACTAGAGCTATGTCAAAGGAAAGATACTCTAGTCTGTGAGACATCATGTTTGTCTGCCTGACCTGTCACAATGTTATAAACTGTAGTCAGATGTTCCACACAATGAATACATGAAACAAGGTAACATTTCAAAACTATTAAGGCCAAATCCAACTGTTTACATTGGGAAAAGACCCCATGCTGCAGAGGTCTTCAAGCACTAATGGAAGCTAATCCCACTACTATCCACAATAAATTGTTTCACATTTTAATCTCGAGACTTGCCAAAACTTTGACAATGCCCCGCTTATATAAGACACCTATTTCAGTATCTTAGACTATCATTTTAATGATGATAACAGTTATCCAAGTAGGTTATCCTGATCCCTGATGGTTAATTCTGACTCATTGTTTGTTTGGCAAGACCAAAAACAGTACCTGTCTGACCTTTCATATTTGCATTTTTATCCATATATGGCCCAGTAGATACCATATTTAAATTATCTTTCTGATGATGTTTATTCTAGGTTTTTTAGTGTGTGATTTCCCAATATCCACTATAAAGATTGCTGGAAATTTATTCATAAGGGCCAAGTCAGTGTATATCAACATGTATACCAAAACTTTGCTTGAATTACTTAGTGAGATCGTTTTGCAACAAGCAACTTTGTTTCACAGAATTCTGTTGCAGAACGCAAGTGTAGGGGGATACCAACTGACATGGTGATTTCCCTTCCCTCTGATATGACTATCTCTGTTAAAGGATGGGAGAATGTTATCTCCCAAATCCTGGCAGCATTTCTGGCAGTTGATTATTGTCTTATATCTCTGTCAATTGTCTGTTCTTGAAGCCATTTATATGTTTTATGTGTTTCTCATCTCCAACCTCAACCAGCAAGAGTGCAGGTGGGCAAATTGTTTTTAAAAGTTTGATTATTTTTTTTAAAGACCTGTTTTTCAGTAATTGTGTAACTTTTTAAATGAAATTTTTAAGTTTAGAACAGTTTGTTACAGTCCTTAAATTAATTTATTATGTAGGTCAAATCACCTTGCTTTGAAAGCGAATCTTTATTAAATATAGCTAAAGAAAGATCATTCTGATGTGTTATTTGTATGAGTATTTCTTATCACATCAGGGCATATATGTCCACAGCAGCAGGAAAATTAAGATAAGAAAACTTTATTATTTCACTTCAGAATGGAAATTCAGGGCGAGTTAGAGATGGTATACACAGAAAAAAGTATGGACTGACTAATAAGAAGGTAGACACAATTTTATGGATAGCCTAATGAGGATTCATACACTATTACAAGCATTTGCTTCCAGATGGTGATATTGGTGCCAGCGCCACAGGAATTGATGCCTACATGAAACAAAAGCATCGGCTGATCTGGGAGAGACGCAAGTTGGAGAGCCAAGCATAATGTAGTGACTAGGCTGTAGACAATACAATAATTGAATTTCTAGATGCTGATCACTACCAGCTGTTACTACATACACTCTTTGTGATCAGCAGGCATGTCATTTGTACACCTGCTATACCCCAGAATATGAAGACGTTTGGGAGATGAATGGTGTTAGTTGGTTTTCTTTTGTACAGGTGAAATTTCCTTGAATATGAGTCCTTGAAATTAAACATTTGAAAAATGAAACAGCTTCTGTGTAATGATTTTAATATGATATGTTACCATGGATCTCCGAGTTGAATCTTCTCAACCAAGGTTGTATTAAGTTGATATATTTACTAGATAAAATAAGATCATCATGTTATCCTGCTATTTAGTTGTAGGTCCTGATTTTATACATTTTCTTGTTATTTTCTGATGCCTGTTGCTGAAGCTATGGTAGAATTGCAAAGTGAATTGATAAATAAAAGCTGTGTGTAAATGACTCAACTCAATGTGAATGTGGATAAAACCAAGTTTGTCATCTTTAACAAGCTATACAAATGAAATAAAATATTTTGCGAATAAGCATGTTAAATGAGACATTGTAGAAGTATATCAAAGGGGTTAAGCGCTGTCCACGCCAAAGCAGAAATTGGTAAGTAGCAACTACCATTTTTTGGCTGGACAGTACAAATTGTGATTTCACCAAAACTCATGGAGCATGATTTATGCAAGTTTTTAACCCCTTTAGGTGACATTTTGAACTAAATCTAACTTATAGCATGCACCAGACCATAATCGTGATAGTATTTATATACGACACTCAATAATACGTTCAATATTGTTTTCTTTACTTTATGTTATCATCTGCCATGATAGAGGCGCTTTTAAAGCTAGGTGCTTTTCAGCCTGATAATGACATTAATATTTCAGACTAGCGCGTACATTTTCCAGATATTTTTCATGGAGTATACACTTTGAATGTGGTATACCACATTACAGCAAGAATTGTTTGATATTTTTAAATGTTTTTCACATCTTAAACCTTGTCATGATGATTTCATGATGAACGTTTTATGTTGTAAGAAAATGTAACAAATAATAGATTTCTTCATCGATATATTCATTATTCTACATAATTTTTTACTGCGTCCATTCTATACATTTGTGTGTACTGGACGCATATTTCTGCCTCATGGAAAACCCTGCTGACTCCATGTGACAAGAACCTGTTTAAGCATTCCTACATATTTTGCATTAATACATATTCTTTTGTACAATGAAGTAAATATACATAATTTTTATATCATGAAGTCGAAGGTCTTCTTGATAATTAGTTTGTTTATATAAAAAAATGTGCTTCTGGAAAGTCCATAGTCATGAACCAAGTAATTTTTGGACATTTTAGCTGGTAGATTTCAGGAAATGTTAGTTTAGCATGTTCAAATAAATATATCACTGACAAGTAAGGAAACTGGTGAAGTAATAGTGAAGGTGTAATGAGGATAAATGTCTGTTAAATTATTTTTGGGCATGTATATCAACATCTGGCATGTCCACCATGTTAGCATGAAACCTTGATTGCATACTGTTGATTTACTTGCATATGGTTTACCTTGGCATTGCCCGCCATTCCGCCTGAAGAGCTACCACAAGCTGGGCCACGTTGGCTGGTGCCTGGTCTCTGGCTTACACTCTCCGCCCGAGAACATCTTACAGAGGCTCTATGACATGGGCATTTAGCTGGCCAGTCCAATGTCCGTATGCCTTCTGGTCGGAGATAATCGGTGACCACCTGGTTTGGCATTGTCAGTTCAAAGTTACTGCCTATAATTCTAGCGAAGAACAACAGAACGCAGAATTTCGACAACACATCGCTGGCCAATCAATTGTCCATTTACAATAACCACATCAGTTCCAATAGCAAGTGTGATACCGCCCTACACCATGACACTACCTTTTCAATACCGATCATTGTCCAAATTGTTGCCCTGGCATACTGCTCGCCGCTACGTCGCCAACAACTTTTTTGCCATCTGTGAATTCAAGGCAAAACCTTGATTCGTCTGTCAACATGGTGTATCGCCATTGGCGCACATCCCGTCCCTGGTGTTGCCTTGTCCACCCCAATCTTTGCCGTCTATGATAAGCTGTTAGTATCACATCCTTGACAGGACGCCTTGCTTTCAGACGGGCTGCACAGAGCCGTTTCTTTTTGTAAATAAAAGTTGAAATTCGCCATTATGTTATTGTACGGAATTTTCTATTGACAACAAGAGCAGATTTGATTCTATTGGGTAATGCAGTTAATGTAATGAGACGACCTTTCCATCCCATCTGTCGCCATTTTGTTTGGACCGCCTCCATGGTCTGGTGGCAGAGAGCGGAAGGTCCGGGGTTCGATCCCAGGCCGTGTCATACCAAAAGACGTTAAAAGATGGTACTTAAAAGAAGGACTGGTCGGCTAGGAGTCAGTATACTGTGTCTGAGTGGGGTATTCATGTTAAACTGCGGCATAATATCTCAGTGAGCTATAAATCGGCATCAGTCCGGACTTGTACAAGCAGCTACACACACACACGTGCATGCACGTCGCTATGTAAGTGCAATGATCTTGGACACGACGTTAAACCCCATTTCACTTCACCTCACCTCACCTCCCCACATTTACACAACGCTCAACATTAATGATATTAGCGAAAAGAAACAAAAAGAGCATTAACGCCAATGCCACCCAACATCTAAACAAATAGCATTTGAGACATCAGAACCCCCCCCCCCCCCCCCCCCAGTCATGCAATATACTTTACATGATGATTCCCATGTCCTTTCCGCTTTGCCAGATCACTGCAATTTTTCTTGCAATAAATTTGGTAAATACGACTTCGATGCTTACAGGCTAGTTGATTGTTCATGAGAGGGTTGGAGGGAGGGATTAGTTGAGGATATCGACATAAAGAACAGGATAGCGAAATGGATTCCCGCATTCACTTAATTATGTAAGTGTCTCATGTTGCCACCATAATTCATAGCGTATTACATACATAAAGAATTCAATACATTTTCACAACTGTGCATTTGACATCAAGACTTGTTTTGTGTTTTTCACGACGCCGATAAAAGACGACAGCGCTATTTTGATAAATGTATATTTCATCTGTTTATTGTTCATAGTATACAAGAATCTGTTTGTATATTTAATTTTTACGACAAAAGACGGAATACCTGTTAGTCATCAATGTTATATATATACATTATAAATCCAGTACTCAAACGATATATATTATCAAATATATTTGTTTAGTATAGAACAGTTTAATATTCTGAAATATTCAAAGTTGAAAACAATCCAGTGTTTTTCTCTAACATTATGTACATGTTATTGCTAAAAATATAATTGTTTTACAAGTATATTATATGACGGAAACGAAGGAGATAATCATCACGGTTCACTTATCATTGTAAAAAAGTATTTTGAAATAAACTGTAAATGGCCAGTGTCGATATTTTCCAAAATGATTACGTTTAGGTATAGTATACTTAATGAGATTATTATGTCTCCCCCAGAATGGAGGGAGACATATTGTTTTTGGCACGGTTCCCGTCGGCGTCGGCGTCGGCGTCGGCGTCGGCGTCGGCGTCGGCGTTGGCGTCGGCGTTGGCGTCAGCGTTCCCACCGTTTCCGGACCATAACTCAGAAACCGTTTAATATTTTTTCGCGAAACTTTGTATACACATTAACCCAGTACTGAAGTGGTGCCTTTTGCTATTTAGAGATATTTGACATTTTTATTTTTTCTCGTTTCCATGGAGATAACTTGAACATAGACTCTGAATGGGGGTAAGCTTGGTTTCCGGACCATAACTCGGAAACCGTTTAATATTTTTTCGCGAAACTTTGTATACACATTAACCCAGCACTGAAGTGGTGCCTTTTGCTATTTAGAGATTTTTGACATTTTTATTTTTTCTCGTTTCCATGGAGATAACTTGAACATAGACTTTGAATGGGGGTGACCTTGGTTTCCGGACCATAACTCGGAAACCGTTTAATATTTTTTCGCGAAACTTTGTATACACATTAACCCAGCACTGAAGTGGTGCCTTTTGCTATTTAGAGATTTTTGACATTTTTATTTTTCTCGTTTCCATGGAGATAAGTTGAACATAGACTCTGAATGGGGGTAAGCTTGGTTTCCGGACCATAACTCGGAAACCGTTTAATAGTTTTTCGTGAAACTTTATATACACATTAACCCAGCACTGAAGTGGTGCCTTTTGCTATTTAGAGATTTTTGACATTTTTATTTTTTCTCGTTTCCATGGAGATAAGTTGAACATAGGCTCTGAATGGGGGTAAGCTTTGTTTCCTGACCATAACTCAGAAACCGTTTAATATGTTTTCGTGAAACTTTATATACACATTAACCCAGCACTGAAGTGGTGCCTTTTGCTATTTAGAGATTTTTGACATTTTTATTTTTTCTCGTTTCCATGGAGATAAGTTGAACAAAGCTCTGAATGGGGGTAAGCTTTGTTTCCTGACCATAACTCAGAAACCGTTTAATATGTTTTCGTGAAACTTTATATACACATTAACCCAGCACTGAAGTGGTGCCTTTTGCTATTTAGAGATTTTTGACATTTTTATTTTTTCTCGTTTCCATGGAGATAACTTGAACAAAGCTCTGAATGGGGGTAAGCTTTGTTTCCTGACCATAACTCAGAAACCGTTTAATATTTTTTCGCGAAACTTTGTATACACATTAACCCAGCACTGAAGTGGTGCCCATTAGTTGTTTGAAATTTCTAGGAGTTCTTTTTTTGTCTCTGTTATTTAGTAATGGAGGGTGGGAATGAAGAGATGGGGTTTAACGTGAAGTAAACGAATGAATGGGGGTTAGGGGAGTGGGGGGGGAGACATATGTTTTTACGAGTAAAAACACTTTCTAGTTTTATTTGTGATGTGTTACAAATTCATTTCAACTTAAGTTTCGTTTTTCCAATATATTTTTCATTACCGCAGCGTTACTACATTAATGCGTTATTTTCGAAGTGGATCCATAAATTGTCAAAAATACATAGTACCGACTTCCTACTTTTAATTCATTTCGGGACAAAATAGACATAAACCGTCAATTGCCGAGACATCTTTAAGAATACAAAGAAATTAAATCACAGCATTTTGCGTGTTTTCCTTTATAGTAATTATGGGTGATGGAGATTTGGGTGGTATGTCATTCTCTGTAAAAATGTGTATCTTA